ATACATAATTAATATATACATTAATTTATAATATCTATATTAATATATAATTATTAATAATTATAATTCTTATATAATTTATGATATTTTAATTATTTAAGATAACAATAGTTGATAAATTTTTCGAATGAAATGAAGTCATTCTTAACAGAACGAGATGGTTTTCGCTGACTTTCGAGATTTGACTATTGCTAGTTGAAATTTACTATTGGTAATACCTTTTACGCAATATGATACGATTATTGGTAAAACCACAAAGAAGCGCGTAAAACAATATGCGATTCTCAAAATAGCAAGAGAAAGATGTGGCGTCAGCGTTCTCCTCGTACTCGCAAAGAAAGAACGGATATAAATCACACTGGCGACACATTTCTTCAGCAGTATGATAATCGATTGTTACGCATTCGCGCTTCGTGCGAACTGACAAGAGCAAGATAAGATTGTCGGGCGATATTTTAGGTGTAGATAATATTTTTTTATAATCTTATCCCTTTCAGTCAACGAGTACATTAATTTTGTTGTAACAATGTGGATGGGATGGGGCGAGCAATATATAATGATAAGAATTAGCTATAACTCCAATAATAACTCCGATAATAAATTCTATAATAATTATAAAGAGTATAGGTTGTTGATATGAGCATCTTTGGCGATAACGAGAGAAAATAAATAATGACATTGAAAAATAAGATAGATTAAAAATATTATGGAATGAATAGAAGAAGATATTTTTAGATTCATATATATATATAATAAGTAGATAATTATTATAAAGAATTCAGAGACAATATTTCATTGTTTTTAGTCTGTTTTAACGTGAAAACGGTTAATTTATTGCAGCAACTAATTGTAGTTGCTGTAAGATTTTATTGTTAAGAGCGATTATGTCAGATGGCTAGGATGTAATGTGAGTCGATGAAGGAAGCGGATATCGATAGCGCTGAGATATATATACATATATATATATACATATATGTGGTAATAAGAAATGATATTAGGTAACTATGATATATATTATTGAGAACTTAATTTATCAAGTATTGTTTATTAAATTTAAAATAAATATATCATACCAAAAAGAGTTTTAACCGTCTACCACTATAAATAAAATAAAAAATAAAAAATATTTAATTTTTATAATTTAAAAAGGAGCTTCTTAAAACCCTTACATTTTTTCCTGCATCCTATAAAGATTATGAATAAACGGCTCATGAAAAATTAACAAATAATGCCTAGAAATATTAGTGTATTTTTTTGATCGCTTAATTTGAAATTGATATGGCAATTAATAAACGATAAATAAATGTACGAGTCTATAACTTGTTTTGATCTTTTTATTCAGTTTTGATTAAACAAAACTGAATAAAAGAGGAACGTATTAACGTGTTGTCACTCATTAGCTGAAAAAGGAATATTGAAAATAGGCAATCTACTTAAAAATACTCTCTTGCACGTACTCGTCATATTCCTTTGCAAGAGAATGTGAGTGCTTGAGAGTGTCAGAAATGGGCATTAAAATAATAGAACGAACTGAAAATGGTCCACGCTCACCATATGAGGTGTAAAAGCGGTGAAATATTTTCGTAAGGAGGATCTAATTTAAAAAATTGATGCAGTTAAAAGGTTTAAATTTATATTACAAATTATAACTTATATTAAATGTTAACTAAGTCTCTTAATAATGCTAGCTTTTAACACGTTAATATAATGTGTGAATATAATTAATCATACAAATTGAAATGTATACTATAAATTATAACGCTAGCTTTCATATGTTAATATTATTACTGTCATTGATATTGCTCGTAAGAAGAAAAAGTCTTCTTAATTATCTCGAACTAGATCAAACTAGAGTTATTGATGACTAATTGTTAGATCCAAGGTCTGTTCTGTTCTTAACTTCTTGTGCCCAGTTTATGTTTTTCTCTTTTTCTCTCCAACGTGAAAAGAAAAAGATGAATCTAGAAGTTTAACTAAAGTGCTAGAAGTTTAACTAAAAAGTATTGACCTATTGACAATAGGCTATTGTATCGAACACCAATGATGTAAGAGTGCGAGAGTTGTATTACGCTCACCATGATAATGTTGTTGTATTGGGAACCGCTGATGGTTAAAGATGACGCCGTGGAGCAGGATCCTCGGCAGAAATACGCGTGATATCCGGTAGGGTGTAAGATCCAGTCGCTCCAGCCTATATCTTTGAAATCAATGAAGAGCTCGTCCCGACAGCACTCCGTCATCTCGGGTAGGCAATTCGAATGCCTCTTGGGCCTGTTCCGCTGCGGCAATGGCTCTGTGTGGATTACTAGAAATGGCTTTAGAGTCTGTTCGATGGACACAGGCGCTTTATCATGGTCGGTCGAACAGGTTGTGCAGGCTATCTGGATGGAGTGGTTCAATCGATGTCGACCTATCCATTTCTTCACCATAAACTTTATGTCTGTCTTTACCCAACCCTCTGAAAGAAAAAAATGACGATTTTTTTATGTGCAGTGTCGCATGCCGCACCAGAGAAGCCATAAAATTTCATGAAAGTTTACAGAAAATATGATTTATTCCAGACAGTATATACACTACCGCTTAAAAGTATTTGTCCACTCTAATTTTTGTATGTATTTTTTTTGTATACCTATACATTCCATTCTACTGCATTTCTTTACTATATGTAGAATTAAAAATTTTTAAGGAAAATAAAAATCTTCGAATTTATCGTCATAATTTTCGATATTTTTTAATATGTAAATTTTCTTGTTAAATTTTAATTTAAACGTTCAGCAATCGATTTTTAGTCACATTTTATATTGATAGGTATTAAACGATATTATTAGAAATCGTTCGGGATATTGCGATATGAGAAAATAATCTTTTAGCATTTGTTTCGAATTTTCGGTAAAAGGCAAAGTGCATGCAATGCAACGGAGTAACGAAATTTCACGGTGGAAGATATCTATTATGGTATGAATTCATTTCTGACAAATATGTGAATAAACATTGCAGAAGGGGAGGGGAGAGAAAGAGAGAGAGAGAGAGATTCCATCTGTCATTTATCCACCTTTGATATCGGTTTCAAAGATTGCCATAAAGGTGTTCTTTTCGAATCTGCCGCCCTGGTCCCAGTGATCGAGTTCAGATAGCACGAATGTCTGCTTGAGCTCATCGACATTTTCGACTTGTTCCTTGTAGAACCAAAGCTCTGCCGAGGTCACGTCGACGTACAGCATCTCGTTCGGCAAGTAAAACGTGAAACAGACCGCTGGATTGAATCCTGTTATGTGATTCGAGCTCTGATGGTATTTCGTCGAATCGGCTATACCTGTAATCATTCGATCGTTTTTTTTTTTTGAGAGAGTGTAACACAATTGTTTGATTGTATGATTTTATCGAAATTTGATTATAAATGAGAAATTAATTTTTCTTGCCAAATTTTTTGATTGAAAAAAAAAACCGATTTTGTTAAAATAAAAATTTAGCTAAATACAGATCTGAAAATAATTTTGTTGGACCATCAGAATAATTATACATGCAGGATGCTGTGGTTACTATTGGTTGTTAATAATAACTTAATAATAACTAGTTAATTGTTACTAGAATGCCAAATTATTTTGTATTCAAAATCTCATTATGCTTGAGATTCCTCAGTAATTATTTTGATGATCCAATAAAATTACTTCAGTATTTGATTATATAAATATTTAAAATATTATATAAATATTTGAATATATAAATTTTTAAATAATTTCAGCCAAATTGTTCTTTCTGTATAAAATTCAAGATATTTATACATTTCAAACATAGAATATAATTAAATATGACTTACAAAAAATTTCGATTACATTTATTTAGAAATCTATATGAATAAATGATAGTCGATAGTTATTAACAACAAATGGAAATTGTTGAATCTTTTGATTAAAGATATACATTTTAATTTTAATTCAAAGAAATTCTTGTCTTTTGCACAAAAATACACTGAGAGAAAAGTGGTTGGAATTACAATAATTTAATTACTATAATTTATAGTCATTTTTGGAGACAACTATATATTTATAGTTGTTTTAATTATAGCTACTTCATCATTAAATTATGATCATCACAACTATGACATGCATTTATGTAACTATAATATATTGCATACACGTGTAGTTATCTCGTTAATGAACGGAAATTTCATATTAATACTCGTAAATTGTATCTCCTATAAAATATTGTGGTAACAAACACATAATTCAAAGCATAATTAGGAACTATATGCTTATAGTAAATCGTATTCTCACATTAATAATTCGATCTTTTATGTATAATTATATCTTATATCTATTCAGAAAAAATGTATCAGCAAATAGTTTGAAGAATTAACAAATTAGCGCATCAACTATGTGCTATAATAAAAACAATAAATAAGTTATATAAACTAAGAAAATATAGTAGTATTAACCATTTACTATAAACGATTAGTATTACTATAATTTCTTAGTTGATCATTTCATTTATTTATTGTTCTTATTAAGACTTTATGATACATATAATAAGTTGTGGCGTTATTTGTTCTTTCTGTAAAAAATTTTTATACGTATAAATAACTCGTCCAAGAGAATAAAGTTACTGAATTTTTATACAGAATTGAAAACTGTGCCGAGATGTATCTTTCATTTATTTTCTTTTTGCATAGCAATTGGTTCGAAATTTGAAAATATTTCACTTTTTTTTTCAAAGGTGGTTATATTTTCACTCTTTAGGAGTGAGATTTCACTCCAAGAAATTTAGAGTGTAGTATTTTTTGTTTGAATTGAGTATATGGCTATCCAGTTGCCCTTTCTCTATGACGAACGCATATTTATGGCTATTTCATTATAAACTATAATACCAATGAAGGCACCGAATGGCACCGAAGACTCAGTTATTCGAGACTTTTGAGAGTGCGCCTTTGGCCACGTACAATCGGCAATTTACGGCGATACTAGAAGTAAGCCTCAAATGGAACCACAATTATCTGGAAAAATGCGCTCTAAAAGGTTCTCGTAACTGCGACAAAGTGCGGCAAAAGTTATTTCTGCGGCACGTACGATATGCAAGCATAAGATTAAACAGAAATATCGATGATAGAATCATCTTCGTCCAAAAGAAAAAAATTCATTATTGCAAGAAATTATTGTGGAAAGACATACAATTCTACAGCCTTCGCCATAAGTACAAAACACCCTCAATTAATTTTATTTTCTTAGATAAATCGATAATAAAATCAAAAGAGGGTTAATAAAATATTAAAATTGTTTTAGAAATAAATATTATTTTTAATAAAACTATTTTTAGTTTATTTTTAGTTAAGACTTAAAACATTTACGTCAATTTTTGAGAATGCTTTATATACAAAGCTGTAATTCATGACTTTCACTACATATATTTTCTAATTTACAATTATTATACCATTTCCTCAACATGTATCAAAGAAGGTTTTGTAATGTAAAATAAGATTTTAAATGTTTCAAATTAGCTTATGAAAAATTTCAAGTTGTTTTGCAGTATTATCGATACTGTTTTATGGAATGTTTTATGACAAATTTTAATCAAAGTCATCTGTATCCGTTCATAACAAATCGATATGAAAAGTCGTGCTCTACACGCTTTGCCAACGTGCACGCATCGATGATTGGAGCAATCCGTGATATAATGCACACTATCAAGCGCGTCGAAATGATTTCCGGACGGATTCTTGGGTGATCAGCATGTCCGATTGATCGCCACTTCCGTATGATTTATAGCTAGGATTATGCAACGTCAGGCGTCAGAGTGAATCTATATCGTTGCACAATACGTGCTAAACGTCAGCGACAGTGTATCCACATGTGCACTGTATTTTTCTCGGTGTATAATTTTTCTCGCGTTTTTCTCATCCGTTTAATGTACGTGTGTACATTGCATCCATATCGAAAAATAAAACTTTTTTTATAGTACTATATTTATTCCATTTCATGAATAAGTACGAACGAATAAGTACCTATACTTGCAAGTTTGTACTTATTCATTTGTACTTATTTACGTAATGAAATTTTAGCATTTGTGGCTATAATAACATGGTAAATAATTATAATTAGAAGCTTTATTTTTATAGTTATTACTAGTATAATCCTGATTGTATAAGTTACATAAAAAAGTAACGAAGTTAACTTTTTCGTCACTTTTTTTTTACGTAATTACCTTTCTTAATAAGTAACGGTAATGGTAATTAAGTTACAATTTCTAGTAATGAATAATGAAATTTGAAAGTTATGATTTCGTTACTATTTCGTTACTTTGTTATATATACCCGTTACTTTTAGTTTTTTCAGTGAGTAACTTATAATGATGACAAGTTGCTTTTCAAAGTGACTTTTCTAGCCTTATAGCACAACCTTAGCATTTAGTTAGCGTTACTGTCATAAAAAATTGCAACGTCATTATCAAATTGTTTATTATAAAAAGTAACGACACAGTAACGAGAAAGTAACTTTTAAGAACCCCGAGTATAATGTTAGTAATAACAATTATATTTATAGTTCTATATATAAAAAGGTACATATATATATACATATATAGTTATAGTTGTCCCCAAAAATAACGACTATAATTTTAATTTATTCTGTTATTAACTGATTAGTTTTCTCTGCTGAACGCAGCCATTAAATACAAAATGTTATAGTTGTGATATAATATATCATAGGCAGATAATAGCACTTTTTATATCACATGACATAATTTCTTCTGAGACTAATTATTTCACTTGATAATTTATACAGGTGATGTAATCGCTGCACATCATATTGGGTCTCGCTGACCTCATTATTGAATTCTATCGAAGCCAGATTCTATCTTGCGTATTCTCAAAGTTCATAAGATTTTCATTCAGAAATCCGATTTCCGGGTTATATTAGAGTAGAGTCGTTCCGAGATCTTCGGATATTTTTGGAACGAATTTCACAGTATACCTTCAGGACATTCTCGAGCGTGCATTACTTATCGATGTCGCGGCACAGATTCAACAACGCAATGAACATTTCCGGTTCATTGACCTCAATCGCACCGCCGTAATCTGCAGTTTTCGCACCGAATCGCTGCGAGTTAACTAAGTCAAATAAATGTTCCAATATGACGAAATCCCGATTTGCTATTTATACTTGTGTGTGAGCTTGTATGATGTATGCATGGTATAGTTTTGTACCGAAATTAGATAAAAAGCAAATATTTTGGATCATGTCGGATCGGCCTGTCACATCATAGAAAGATACAAAATAGATGAATCATATCGTTGGATAATAATTTGCTCCAGTGCGAACTACGACAACATCATATCTGTCGCGCGCGTGAAGAATTAAACATGATGTTTTTTAAGTTCAATACTGACAAGTTTCCACCGAGGGTTCGAACCGGGTCAGAATGCAAGAACTAACCAACTACAGTCGAGTATTCCCCTCTTAGTCGAAGACCCTGAGAGGGGAATGCTCGACTGTAGTTGGTTGGTTTTTGCATTCTGACCTAGTTCGAATCCTTGGTGAATACGTGAGTTCATGCGGAGTGAAGGTTCATGAAACAAGAGTTCACATAGAATATCAGCGAATAGAAAAATCACAAATTGAGTTCGAAATTTTTGCGATTTCTTTGAAGAATCTCGAGAATAGAGAATTACTCCGACAGAGCAATGAAAAGCGATATTCTAGAGAGGGGGGAGAGAGAGAGAGAGAGAGAGAGATCATGGTTGCTTTTTAAAACAAGCGCAGTTGAAATGTTTAAAAAAAAAAAAACTTTCACAAATTCAGGTAACTATTCTTCCGAATTCTTTATATTATACAATTAATAAGTTGCTGTTAAAAATTGATAGAGAACTGAAAATTTACAATATTTTATAATTATGTAAAGTTAAGAATAATTAGTAAAAGACAAAGTAATACTTTGTATAAAGGAAAAAGGCGTATGGTGAGAATTATTACTAACATAAGAAAGGAGTACGATCGATTTTGTTAAATGCAGAGTCACAATCGCGTGTACGGAAAACATTGTAAAAAGAGGTGTGAAAAAATTTGGGGTAATAATATTCAGCATATTCGTGCAACCGATGAACGATACGATTATATTATCGTATTCTTACATTCCGTCGCTGGCAAGAAATTAAGTATTCGTAAATTATGCATGGCTTCGTTGCGAATAAAGTTGCATGACGCGGTAGAATGCCGAAATGGTAACAGCTGGTTTCAAGCGCAAAAAACTTTTACGTGACGTATACTATCTTAGAGTTTCTACGTGCTTCTATCTTATATATGTATGTAAGCGAATGTTCCGGAAATAGCAGGAAAAGTTTGATTTCATGTTTACGGATGTTCGAACGTTTCATATCAATAGATACTACTGTTAGTGTTTTTTCTTGCGAGGAAACAACGATTCCTCGTATGTTAATAAATGATTAGGGCTCGTATGGATCCGGTATAAGACTGTTTGGCCGTATCAGCAGTCAGATAAGCCGAAGCGGATAATCAGAATTACAGTGAGATCTGAGCTACAATTATTATGAGTAACAAAGAACCTTAATAAATTCTTTTTTTTGTCTCGGCTTATACTTAGAAAAAAAATAAGAGCTCTGTAAAAGTGACTATTATACGAGTTTTATATATAGAAATAACGTATATAGTTGAATAAAATAATTTATTGAATTGTGTTAATTCTGAATATAAAACTTGTATAGTTATCACCTTTATATATTTGACACCGTGTCTTTTTCTCTGAGTGTACATACATATGTCATCTTAGTTATTTTAAGTTATCCTACAAGGGATAAAGATTTAAATGAATAATTTTATCAATTTTATACGTTTGCTTAATTTTCATTATCCGTTACTTCTTCATTTTCTCACGCTTTCGATAGAACTTTTTGGAGTGACAGGGCTCGAAGTAACTTCGCGAACGGGGCGAATTTTCCAAGAGAAAGATTTTTCTTCGTGATTTTAAGAAATTCGTCAAGCACGTCGAAAATGATTCACACAGGCGATTAAAATGGAACCGTGATTCGGCGTTGTAATTCGAAATAAATTTCCGCCGCACCGTCGGGATTCATACGCGCGCCGTCCGCGCGCCTTCCGTATTTGCATCGCCGCGGAAAATTTGAAATTCATGGTCCCAGCCGGTAGTGGTACCTCTATTCCAGAAGTGTCGAGAGAGAGAGAGAGAGAGAGAGAGAGAGAGAGAGAGAGAGAAACGGCGTCATTGTTACCGGTTCTCGTTTATTTCGAGGGAGCCTTGCAATTACGCAATATTCATATCCTCGTCGGTGTTTCTCGTCTGGCTAATCAAGAAGGGGTTGTCGAGAGGAACGGTCAGTCGACAGTAAAGAGAAAGAAACAAGCTTCTCGAAGAGATGTTCTCGATGCGAGACGCTCAGTTTTGCGTATGAATATGCAGGATATACGTGAATGTAAAATCGGATACTAAATGATATTACAAATTATCGGAAATATTACAATATATTGACTAAGATGCTTTATGTGTGAGAAAATTGAAATTTAGTTTTCTATGAGTTAGTAATTGCCCATTGGTAGTAGCAATTATTTAAAAAAAGTTATTTACACTTTTCTGATTTTACAAAATTACATATTACATTGACGGTTTACACTTACGGATTACACGTTCTTCTAATCTGTCATAAATTTCGTGTACTTGCGTACTTACTCGGATACGTTTCTGGCACAATAGTTCATATGCGGATTTCAGCTTGCGCTCCATCGAAAAAACTTGTGCATGCTCGATGTTCAGAGATTTTGTTTCACATTCGAGTGTGTTTCACACTCGGAGACTAGGGCTGCATCATATATGAGAAAGATATATACAATATTTGCGAATGATATGTATTTCTCTCTTGTTATTGCTATTCGTCCTTCCCATTTTCTCCGTCTACGCATCGTACGTGAATATAAATAACCGTTCATTAGTAGTCTACATCTGATTGAATATTTTTATGATAAAATTTACATGTAATTATATATAGACGAAAAATATTGTCAAATTTTTTTCACAAGTTTACAATTTATAATAATAAGATTGAAAGACCGCTAATGTTAAACATAATAATTTTAAATTAAGAAGCGCCATAACGGTCAGAACGTTAAGATGTTGAACTATTGTAAATTCATTTAAATGAATTAATTTCAGAAATGATAATTGCGTGCCGATATGGTTGTCGGACTTTCAACGCAATCAAATCTGAAAATATTAATAATCCCCCCAAATTCCCCAACTTAAAAACTGTAATAAAACTTTACAATTTATATTTTAAGCGATTTTGAAAAAATTTTAAAAGTTGTCATAATAAATTAATGTTTTTGATCTTACCTTCGTTGTTCCTGATTTTTTAAAATTTAATTGTTTTAACAATTTCGAGCAAAAACATTTATATTTTATTGAAACATATACAATCATTCGCGAGTATTATATGCATTTTTCTCATATGATGCAGCTTTATGTCCGTATTCATAGTTAGACCTTATACTTAAGGCTTCCTTAAATTTATCTTTAGATGCTCAGTAACCAATAAAATAATTCGTAGAGCATCTGAAGATAAATTTAAGGAAGCCTTAAATTTAAAGCCTGACTATGAATACGGGCCTTAGTGTCCGAGTATTTGAATTTGTCGGTAGATTGTATTATTGAGATAGTAATTTGATCCAGTTACGTTAAAAATTCTTTTAATAGATTTTGTATTTTTATATTTTTTAAAAGAGAGATATTAAAATTTTTGAAAATTTATTCAAGTATAATTTATTCGAAGATAAAAATTATATATACTGAAAGAAATGTTTTGAATAAATCAACAAAAAGATTTAAAGAATAACATTTTGATCAAACAGAATTCCTGGTTATGATAAAAATTTTCTGTTTGATCTCATCAGAAATACCATTTTGTTGTGTTTTTTTTCAACTTAATCGAAACATTTTTCTTTCTGTATGTATATAATATATATTATATACATA